GTGACCGGGGTGAGAAGGGTGACCGGGGCGAGCAGGTAAGCTGGGACGAGGACACATTCCCCCCTGTCCTCCCTGTTCCCCCTGTGCTATGCATCTCTCAGGGGGACAGGGGACTCTCCAGGGAGCAGGGGGATGCCCTATGGGGGCCAGGAGTTGCCATACCTGGATGTCTCTCCTCCCCCATGCCCTGCTGTCCCTCTGATGCTCAATCTATTTTTCTCCCCACCCCAGGGCAGGGACGGCTTGCCGGGCCCTCCAGGGCCCCCAGGGCCCAAGGTAGGTGGTGGCTCCTGCTGGGGATGGTCCCTAAGGGGTGCCAGCCTACCCCTCCGGGCATGGATGGCCACGTCCAGTCCCTTGGCACAAGGGCTTGGGGAGGGCTGTGCCCCTGGGGGGACCTTCCTGGGGTCCCCTGGGTGCCAGCCCTGACTGCGCCCTGCCCGCAGGCAGACGTGGTGGAGGGCAGCCTGATGGGCTTCCCGGGCGAGCGCGGCCCTGCTGGACCCAAGGGAGCGAAGGTGCGTGGCTGGGCAGAGAGGAGCGGGGCAGCCAAGACTACTGAGCTGGGGACAACGTGATGAGCTGGGCTGGGACTGAGGGCGGTGGCAGGGCAGGCATCCCCAGGGGGGCAGTGGGGGCTGATGGCATCTGTCTTCTCCCTGACACAGGGCGAGCCGGGAGCTGAGGGCGAGCGGGGACCCAAAGGAGATAAGGTCTGCAGTCGTAAGTCTCCTGCTGCCAAGGGGGCAGCCCCATGGAGCAAAGCCCCAGGCAGGGGCACTGCTGGGGGCACTCCTCTTTGGGTGTCGGCAGGCCCTGGAGGGGTATGGGAAGGTCCCTGCCTGTCCTGTGACCCTGCACCTGTCCCCACTGCAGGGTGAGGGTGGCCCACGGGGTGAGCGAGGGGAGCCTGGCGAGAAGGGCAGGGACGGCGCCCCAGTGAGTACCACGCTGTCCCCACAACTGGCACTGACCTCATCCCGTTGCCTGCCACTGACCCCACCCCCATCTCTCGCTCCAGGGTCTCCCGGGTGAGAGAGGGCTGGCTGGCACTGAGGGGAAGCCGGGGGGGGGGGACACGGTGGGAGAATGTGGGCTGGGATGGGGGGAAGGTCCTGTGGTCCCACACCAGCCACCGCTGACACCAGTATGGAGCATTCACGTCTTGTTCACCTCCTCTACTCGGCCCCACACTGGGCCCACAGGGATTTAGGGGGCCTCCCAGCCCCCCATAGGTACCCCAGGCTGGGTAGCTCACACCGGCAATGGGGAGCATCCCTGGGGGCAGGCAGGGCTGCTTGGAGCTGGCAGCCTCCCACTCACCCACCAGCTCTGATGTGGTTCTTTGCAGGGCTTGCCAGGCTTCCCCGGCGTGCTGGGACGCCCGGTAGGTGTCTGTGTCCCCCTCCCATGTCACTGTGCCCCCCACCTCAGTGTGAAGATGGGGGCTTCTGGCTGGGGGTGCTGGGTGAAGCTGTGGGTGCCACCCTGCTGGCTGGGTGGGTGCTTGGCCCCAGGCGTCTTGCCAGGAGCTGGCCAGGCTTGTCCTCACTTGGCATGGGTTCTTAGCAGAGATGCTGGCACTGTCTGCATCTCTTCTCCCAGGGGACACTGGGGAAAACCCATCCCTGCAGTGACCCCATCTCTTCCTCCCTTCAGGGCAGCCAGGGAGACCCAGGACCCCCAGGACCCCCGGTAAGGAGCCACCCCGTGCCATGGGCAGGGGACTGTCATGCAGGGGGGATGTCAGCAGGGGCAGGCGTCCCCCCAGGGAGCAGGGAGAGGTGGCAGTGCTGGGACCGTGCTGCCCCACTGCCCCCTCCCCATCCTGTGCCACCAGCAAGCACCGCCCCAACTTAATGTCCCCTTGTCCCCTGCAGGGCAGCGCTGGCCCACCAGGGACCCAGGGCCCAGCTGGGACCAAGGTACAGCATTGGCATTGGCATCGCCACATCTGACCTGGCAAAGGAAAGCGGTGCCTTGCCAGATTTGGGGGCTGGATGGAGGGCCACATTTTGGGGCATTTTGGGATGGATGGATGGATGGACATTTCTGGCTGGCCACCTCTCAATCCAGCTGGCCCTGGGGAGCAGCCCCATGGCAGGCGTGGGGATGTGGCTATGATTGTGGTAGATAGTGCGTTGGGGCAGTGGGACCGACACAGGCGGTCTCTTTGCAGGGTGATCCAGGGGAACCTGGCTCCGGCATCCGGGGGAGCACTCATGCCCTCCCTGTCAGCCC